CGGTCTGCTTGGTGACGTATGCCTTAGGAGGTGCGCTCATGATGCAGCGTGTCCTGCTGGAGAGAGACGTCGTGCAGTCTGCCTCACCAAAATCATGTGGCGTACATTGTGCCAGCTTTCTGGAGTTCTCAGTGTGACATGAACAATCCTGTACAACGGCCAAAGATCACACAGTGGGATCCGGGCATTAGAGGATGTCTACTCCTAAGTGGCTACAAACTTTTTAACAGTTGAAAGACACTAAGACTGAGTCATTGTACTTAGCCCTGGCATGTCTGCACGCACCAGTGATGCTGTGGACCTAGGCCCTTTAGCGCCTAATGTGAAGACCACCATCTGAAATTTGGGAGTACAATTGGACTCAGCCCTTAGCTCTTTGATGCATAAATTATGAAATCTTCAACCTGGATTTTTATTTTTTTGAAATTTTCATTCATTTTTAGGTGTGAATGAAAGTGTTTTTTTTTAACATTTAATAATTTACAAATAATTTATTACATGTCCACCTCAGTGGACAGCGTGCATTCTGAACATGAAATATGTTGGTTTGGCTTACTGAAGTCCAAATGGAGGGGCTCAAATGCAATAGTCTTCAACAGCTGTGCTTAATAGCAAAAAAAAAAAAAACATTTTTTTTGAGTACCTGCCCACTGTAGTTACCATTATGCATCAAAGGGTTAAGTTTGATGCACAAATCAACCAAGTTGTGCGATCGTGCTTTTTTAACTTGTGCCGACCGACCATAATTAAGCCCCAGGGGCCTCATTTATCAAAACGTTCGTACGAACGTTCCTATATTCCTTCCTACAAATGATTTATGAAATGTGCGGTGGCCTCTCGTATGCACGTTCCTCTGCAATCATCTGATGATAAATCCCACCTGTGCTACCCAGGCGCTCATGTTCGTTCTCCCTTGTTTACATACAGAAACGCCCTCATTTAACCATATTTGGTCACGCTACATCCTCAGCACATGAGGGGAATCCCCGTTTCCCCCCCCCAAAAATAAAAATAAACTTTATTGACAGTGAGATGGAAGCACTGGCTGCCGAAGCACAAAAGAAAGTTGTAGAGGTTATAAACGCGGTCGGGACAGAGGAGAGGTTCCCGTTGGGAATAAACAAAAGAATGAATCTGATAAATCGTAGAGTAACGGGTTGTCATAATTACATTTAAGGAGTCATTCTGTTTTCAGACAGTTTTATTGGGAAATGTTGTCCGAGAGTGCAGCATCCCCTGAGCTGTCATTCAGTCTGGTTACCTTGGCAACGTGGTGTGTATGATGGTGGAGCAGAGGAGGTTCTGGAGGGTTCTCTAGTTGTAAAATATGAAGTGGAATCAGATTCTTGAGGTTTGGGTTAGGGTTAGGGTTCAAAACCACGGCAAAGCAGAAGGATTTCCTTTGAGATCAGAGCGCTCACGGAGAACTTGCTCCCTTCATAGAGCACGCTCTGTTGAATACTCCAATAACAGATCAGCCATGTTATAATGTCAGATTCCCATCAGGCGCGGGTGTCTTTTATAGGTTTTAGCTCCACTAATGAGACTTAAATCATTATTTATTGGGTAAATATAATATATGGACGAGGAACATGCGTGGATGACTGAGACTTTCAGAGCTGCGGTTCCCCGTTCTACCACTAGAGGCACGTACGCACAGATTCAGATCTTCTTACATTTAGGAACATTCCTACGCGCAGGTACAAATAGGTGAATACCACACTGTGTAAACTCATGCCTACGCACAGATCTGTACGTAAGTACGGTTGATAAATGAGGCCCCTGCTGTCCAGGGTCACATCTAGAGTCCGTCACCCATGCTTTTATTCTATCAAGACTTGATTACTGCAATGGGAGTAATGTATGCCGGCCTGAGTCAGGGCATGGTAGCATGCAGCTAGTACAAAACTCAGCTGCTAGGTTTGTGACAGGGACACGGCACAGGGACCCGATCACCCCTGTGGTGGCATCCCTTTACTGGCTGCCAATGCAATACAGGGCACAATTTAGGGTCTTGGTACTGGCATACAAGCCTTACATTAATGGCTCCAGCATTTCTTGTCAGTCTTTTGCATAGACACGCCCCTTCGCGGGTCCTTCGCTCGGCCGACAGGAGCTGTTGATGGTTCTACGCACCAAGTGCAGGTCACAGGGGGACCAGTTGCCTTTAGTGGTGCGTCAGTCGTCTTCACTGATGGTTTTTAAGACTTGCCTGAAGACCCACTTTTATCTCGAGGCGTTCCAGGATTAGCCTTTTTTTTACTTGGTTTCGTTGCCCTGGCCTCTTATTGTTTTGCTGTATTTTATTGTCTGTTGTTACTTCTTTCTTTTAATTTTTCCCTGCTGGTTTTTACGATTGTTATGCTTTATTTGATGGTTTTATGTTTTATTTGTGTTGTGTTCAGCACCTTGGACGTCCGCGTAGGTGGCAGAAGGACCTTTATAACAAAAAATTAATTAAATTAATTGTTAGCGCTAGCTACAGCAGGGGTGTTTACGACTGTTGTAATTCCACCTTCAGCCAGTAGGGCGGAGGAGCAGGACTGTTTAGTGTGTCTTTAGTCAGGAGGATGGACATTTTCATCATGTCAAACAAACCTTTAGTTATTATTATTATTATATTTCATGTACTATAGTCTTTTTGACTTCAGCATCAAAAGCTTTCAGACTCTTTCTCAGGTCCTCTGAAGTTAGCACAGCTTAACTCAGGCTCTTTGGACCTTCTACAGGAGCTCTGAGTTACTTCAGCTGCAAGCAGGGTATCCGCGGGTCCTTAAAAAGTCTTAAATTTGCTTTTCCAAATTTAAGGCCTTAAAAATCCTTTAAAATGACATAATCCTTAAATACAGTTTCCAAAGGTCTTAAATGACCAAAGACCCAATAAACAAGATATTTTTATTTCTATAAAATTTTCGTGAATTTCTAGTTAGTGTTCAGCATTTTATGTGTATCATATTTTCATAAGCGGAACTGTACCTACACATTCAGTTGGTTGTGAAAGGGGGCTATTTTTAGATGAGCACATGAGCTGGTTAAGCTAGTGGGAGCTTGCACTATGGGGAAGTGCAAGTTTAATGGTAACTGGATGGCTAATCCCACGTTCGCGACATGGTTACCACCGGTTTCAGGCAACAGCTGGAAATAATAGCTTAAATTAAATTTTAAAAAATAGCTTAAATTTGGTCAAAGTGGCCTTAAAAAAGGTCTTAAAAGTCTTAAATTTGGCTCCCGTAAACCTGCAGATACCCTGTGCAAGGATTTTAATCCATCAACTCATTTTAAAAACGTAGACAGACCCACAAGAACAAGTTTTCATTCAATCTTTGCATGCTTTCTGTAACACAATGATGGTGGAAGTACCAGTAATGATTTTAGATCTACTTGTGTTTATTTGAATTAATTTTCCACTAATATCAACATCCTATTAAAAATAAGTTTCTTCTTCATTTCAGATCTCTTATAGTGGAACTGTAGAGGAGACTGGTTTTAATCTGTGCCTTCTGCCATCAAAACTCTGCGAATAAGTAATTGTGGTTTTTTGTACTTGATCCGGTCCGCGGCTGGCTGCAGCTCAGTCAGAACCAGTCCAGTCCAAAACCTTCCTGGCTCTTTCCTCACAGGGGAGACACTCAGAGGTTTTGAACTACTTGAACTGAGGCAGCCCACTGTAGCTTTACCACGGCAATACATCAATAAGAGCCATGATGTTGTCTTGTATTATATATAAAAGCAGAGGAAAAGGTACGAGCACAAAAACAGGAATTCCCAGAGTCCCTCCACATGGGTGACATCCTGTGGGGCTGTTCCTGATTGGGTTAGAAACCAAAAGGCATCACACTGATGCTAAGTGGTGTGGTGTAGGTTATGTGCCTCTCACAGGTCAGTTAATACACAACCTTTCTCAGTGGCCTAGTGGTAGAGTGTCCGCCCTGAGACTGGGAGGTCAGGGGTTCGATTCCTGGTCGGGTCATACCAAAGACTTTGAAAAAATGGGGCCCAATGCCTCCCTGCTTGACACTCAGCATTAAGGGGTTGGATTGGGGGGTTAAACCACCAAATAGTTCCCGAGTGCGGCTGTGTCTGTGGCTCACCGCTGCCCCAGGGGATGGGTCAAATGCGGAGAACAAATTTCGCACACACACCTGTGTGTGTGACACCTAATGGGACTTTAACTTTTTAACTTTAAATAATCAACATAATAAGCTTCCGTTTCATTTAAAAGGGTTTAGGTGGCCTGTGTCTGAAACAGTTGGGTTTTAGCACGAGCCTGTCTAATTACTGGGTAACCGGTTTTGTGTGTCATATCGGACTCGTCGCCGTGACGCATAAAAATGACTCGGTCAGTCTCCCTGAGCAACTTAAACCCACGAGTTGGCGTTCTCTCCACCGCACTCATGTCTCTGTACTCACCCTGTCATTTCCTTTTGTCTTGGTGGTTTGTGTTCCCGCCACGCACTCCGGACCTGCGTTAAAGCCCCGCCTCCTAGTTTGACTGCAATGGACAGCTTTCTGCACAGGTTATGAAACATTTAAACTCAAAACGGGAGACTGTCTGTTATGCGGGACGTGTGAAAAGTTATGAAACTACGGGACGTCTGGTCACCCTAGTCAGCGTTAGGGTGCCACATGTTCCCTTCAACTTATTCTTCACAAATCACAAAGTTTGGGTTGGCAGGCTTGATAACTGAGGCCCCTGCTCCATGGACCAGAGGGGTCACCAGAACCACAGCCTGATGTCACCTGGACGAAGCAGCCAGGTGGCGCTGATGAGCCGGACAGAGTGTAGTAGGAGAAGAAAGTTCTGACTAGTCACTGCACTAGTACCAGTATTAATACTAGTGCTAATGTTGGTACTAGTGTAGTTAGTGGTAGTACTAGTTTTAGTAGCATTAGTGTTGTTTTACCATCAGTCACAGAGGCAGACCTTAGAGGGGGCGTTACCCAGCTGTGTTTGATCTTTTTGAGTTATGTGATCTTGATTGGTCATTTATCGTCAGCAGGTGAGACCAAGGTTGGCCACACCCACAAATGTCCCTATTGCCCCAGCTCCTCCCCCACCCATGATGGCAGCCCCCCAGCTCCTGCAGAGGCCGGTCATGTTGGCCACCAAGCTGTCCACCTCGCTGCCTTCGGCGGCTCCTATCCACCAGGTGCGCATCGTCAACGGGCAGCCATGCAGCAAGACAGGCTCCGCCCCTCTGACCGGCATCGTCATCACAACACCCGTCTCTGCCACCCCCACCCGTCTCGCCAGCCCCGCTCAGGTGCTCAGCAGCCCTTCTCCACTTCCTGCTTTACCTTCTTCTGCCCCACCAATCCAGATCAGCAGCCTGACCCCTGAGCCCAAGGTGAGAGTACCACTTGAGTAGTATTACTGAAGTAATTGAACTGTCGTAGTACTGCATTAGCGTATTTACCCCTCCCTCCTCACCCTGACTCCTCTCTGCCCTTTCAGCAGACTGTTAAACCCGAAGCAGCAGAGCCGAAGGTGGCGATCAGCCTGCCATCCTCCTCCACCCCTCCATTGCCCACCCCCACCCGGCCTAAGAAGACGGAGAACCCAGAGGTGAGACATCTGGAGTGTTTTCATCTGCTTATGAAGATGGTTCTGGTCCAGCTGGACTTCCTGGTTTATTCTACTATGAGAAGAACTTCCATCTGATGATCCAACTCTTGGTTTTTCAGAAACTGGCCTTCATGGTGTCTTTAGGTCTGGTAACCCATGATCACCTGGAAGGTGAGTCATCATCAGGCTGCAGGTCCACCCCACAGTTCTGTCCCTAAACTCTCATTCCCCTCCCAGAGATTCAGAGCAAACGGCAGGAGAGGAAGAGGAGGACAACAGCGAATCCAGTGTACAGCGGTGCCGTGTTTGAGCCTGAGGTACACACACACACACGCACACACACACACACACACACACACACACACCTGTTCCTCCAAACCCTAACCCATCCTGACCCAGGTGAGGGAGCACCAGGCTCCTCCTCTTGGTAGGAGGCTCTGAACCTGAGTGTCTGAGCTGGTTGTGAACCTGCAACCCTCTAGTTACGGGCGTAAACCAAACTTCTTGGCTGCTGTCGTATGACTGGAGTTCTGAAGGCATTAGCAGGTCCACGAGGATCGTGTCAGTTTACTGAATTGGTTCTGATCCACTTTCAGGTGGTTCTTCCAGGGTTGAATAAAGGAGTTTTCTCTGTTTTTCTGTCCAGAGGAAGAAGAGTGCCGTGAGTTACTTGAACAGCCCTCTGCACCAGGGGACTAGAAAGAGAGGTCTGTATGAAGCTCAGGTCTGGTTCTGCTAGACCCAAACCCAATTAACTGCCTCCTGCTTTCTGTTGCTTCTGTCTCGTTTCAAACTTTTTTCATGTCTTTAACTTATTCTGGGGGGTTGGACCTTAAAGGTGTAATATGTAAGAATGAATCAAGAATGACATCCTGTGGTCAAATGTGGGTACTGCAGGCCAGTTTTCTAAACAAAAAGTCACTTTCTCACTCGTTTTGTGGCGGTTAGGGGTCAGCACCAGAAGATTGTAGATGACAAGTGAAGACGAGTATTACACAGCAAGTTTATTTATTTAAAGAGGAATAGTCTCATGAGATGTACCATCTCGTTTTCATGAAGGTCCTCATATACAGAGCAAAAAAGCAGCAGAATGCAACCAAAAGCATATACAATTAATGAAAAAGAAAAAATATTTTTAAATAATCATAATAATAAACAATCACAAAAAAACTATTACAAACCACCAAACACACACATACACACTCGGACCAGCTCACAATGTTCACCCCACCCCATAAATCTCCAGTAGCACAATACGTTAAAGCAGAAAGTCCCATGTAGGTACTCGGCGTACAGTGAACACCAACAAATGTTCAGTACACGGTTAGCAAACCATAACATTTATTTTGTGTGACAGTAACGAGCACAAAAAATAATAATAAAGATTAAAAGCGTTTACAGAAGCTGATACTCTGAAGGCAAGTTAAAATTACCCTCCGAAAAATGTGAGACCGAACATCTGCATGAAGGCTGTTCCAGTTTTGGGAAGCCGTTACATTAAAAGCATATTTCCCTACTTCTCTGCTAACTCTAGGAACTGAAAAAAAACAAACAGACAATCATTATGATGAAGGCTGTAAGATGAACTAAAAGGTACAGAATACAATGGAAAATTATAACGTGTGTGTTTAAAGACTAGCTAGCTGAAAGTGTGAGCCAAGACAGCTGTTCATACATCACATGGTGGTGTGGTGTGTCCTAAATGTGGTAAGTAGATACATGCATTTCACTCTAATATCCAGTTTCCAGAGATTTTTTTTTTAGAACCGACTGTTTACTTCTAATTCAACATTAGCCTCTAGCCTGCTCCACCTTTTATTTCACAGTAAAACAAACCGATGCCGTGGCTTCTTGGAGGAATCAGACAGAACTTCTGGGTCGCTCCTGTTTACTGGCTTTGGTTCTTTAAACAGATCTGCATATTTTTGCCTGTTGGAATCAAATTAGATAGGCAGGCAATTTAACATTAGCTCGGCACAGACTTGGCAACCCTTCAGGTTCACAGATTGTAACTATCTGTAACTACGTCCCTCTTTGGCCTTCTTGAAAGGAGGATAACTGCCAAATCCCCAGCTGTTTCAGTATAATCTAAAGAGACAGACTGGTTAGTAAGTAAGTAACCTTTATTTATGTTTATGTATTTAGCAGACGCTTTTGTCCAAAGCGACTTACAAGTGATAATCGGCATGTTGCCCTTGAGGCTAATAACAACAACAACATTTGTATAGAGCTTCGGACCCCACGTGACTCTCAGTTAGTAGACGCCATATTGGCAGGTAAAAGAAGCTAAACAAACACGGATCTTAACCATGAACGTGAACGGGATCAGCTTGGATTTTACTTCGTCGGAGTTTACTTCACACTTTAAAACCGAAGAAATAGTTTTATATAGTCAGAAATTAAATAGACTAAACATCTCCGACCCTTACCGTGCCCCTGGGATACTTTTTAAAAACGCCAGAAGCTGTCGGAGCGGACTTCTTACCAGACCTAGCCGGGGAACCCCTTGGGATTCCCCCGGAGGAGCTGGCCCAAGTGGCTGGGGAGAGGGAAGTCTGGGCCTCTCGACGCTACTGCCCCCGTAACCCGACTCCGGATAAGCGGATGAAAATGGATGGGTGGATGGACAAATAACAGATTTACACGTAAGTAGTTTAAATAGAGTGCTGTGCTGTTTAAATGTATAAACTGAACACCAAGAGAAATCACTAGTTTGATTTTTTTTTCCGTGAATAAAATAAATATGTCAGGCAGGAGCGTCTCAGGATCTGTCTGAGATCCCTCTCGGTGAGACAGATAATAGCAATCCAAAGTGCTTTTTATGTGTGATCTGACAATTGATCAACCATTGCTTAAAAATTAAATACAGCTTAGCCGGTTAATTGCTGTGATCATAAAACACGTAAATGGCAGCACGCAGAACTCACGAGGCACCGTTTTAAGTGATGTTTACTTGTTGCTGTGAGTAATAAGACAGAAAAAGCTGCGCCAAAATAAGTTTAGGAAGCCCACTAAGAATCGTAATAAAAGCATTTAAAATAAACACCACACACAGTTGAGGAAACGTTGGTTTAAGTACCTGATATGAAGCGGTCGCTGCATAAGCGAAAACCTTTACTCTCTGGATCCCACAGTTTCATTTCAGCCCGGTCACTAGTGCGTTTTATCACAATGATCCAACGTTTGCGGCGCTCCGGATCTTGGGGAATCCTGTAGATGGCTCATTCCTTATGTCGTCCGTGTCTGTTCTGCATCCTGGGGCACAACAGGAATCTACCATATTTCCTGTCTGATTGAGTTTTCTGACAATAACAAATAGTCCAGCTGCCGGCTTTTACCTGCCAATATGGCGCTGTTTCGATTTGAATTGTTGCATGTCAGGAGAAGTGACGTCAACTCCCGGAGCTCTATAGTGCCTTTCACAGACAAAAACCACAAAGTGCTTCACATTAAAACAGAATAAAATACAAGAACAGCAGAATAAGATAAGCAATAAAAACCTTCTCAGTGGCCTAGTGATGCAAGTGCCCACCCTGAGACTGGGAGATCCTGGGTTCAAATCTATGGTCGGGTCATACCTCCTTGTGGGACACTCAGCTTTAAGGGGTTGGATGGGGGGTTAAACCAGCAAATAGTTCCCGAGCGCAGCAGCAGCAGCTCATTGCTCCCCACGGGGATGGGTCACATGTGGAGATGTAATGTCACCAGTGTGTGATGACTATGGGACTTAAAAGCAGGTTTAAAAGCTTTTTAACCACCAAAAGGAATCAACACATTGGGTGCTTGACCATGTAAGGCTTTAAAAGTTAAAGATATGATTTTAAAATGAACTCTAAAATTCACAGGAAGCCAGTGAAGTGAGACCAGGACAGGAGTTGTGGGAACGTCGTGCAGCAGAGTTTTGCTGTAGTTGTAAACGTTTTTGCTGCTTGAGGTTTACACCAGCTAAGAGACGGCTACAGTCCAGGCGCGATAACATAAAAGCATGAATGACCATTTTCAGATCGGACTTGGAAATCAAAGGTTTTAATTTAGAGATGTTCGGAGATGAAGGAAGCAGTTTTTAAAGAGTTGGTTACGATACTGTTCAAATGACAGAATCGCATGTGACACCTGGGTTTCGTACAAATGGTTGGACAAAAGAGGACAGCACACCTAAATGCTGCTTCATACCAGGGATTTACTATGAGAACCTCCGTTTTGTCTGCATTCAAACTAAGTGATTATCATTTAATCATTGCTTGATTTCAGACAAACGGGCGATTCGTGCAAATTATGTTTGGAGCTCACTTGAACCTACGGAACTATACAGCTGAATATCATCAGCATAGAAGTGGTAAGATAGATCACTGCACTTACTGAGAATCAGTCTTGAGGGATAGCAAATATGAAAGAAAAGGTATTGGTACCAGAACCAAACCCTGTGGTACCCCACAGGTGACTGACTTTTGTTCAGACTGCAACTGGTTTAAGGAAACACTAAAACTTCTGCTAGAAAAATGAAAACCAATTTTAAACCACTCCAGAGAGGCTGACATCTTCCAGTAGTCTATCGGAAGGCCCTAATCCACCATATCAAAAGAAACAGAGAGACCCAACAGGCAGATAACCGTAACCTTACCCCCAAATTCCACTACCTCCGCTCCGCTCCGCCCCCGCCTTCCGCAGCCGCTCGCTTCCGAACTCAATTTTTACTGGTACCCGCTCTACAACGGCTCCGCTCCGGTGCGGAGACCTGAGGTGCGCAAACAGGCATGCGCGGGATTTTCGAGATCTTGCGATACAGTCCGAGCAATAAACGCGGAAGTTAGATCCAAACACCCGTTGTGCGGGAGAAGCATCGGAAATGAGCTGTTTAATCTGCCCATCATTGTGTTGAGAGATCAGCAGTGTTTGGATCAACAAAGTGTGACTACTTTGATAGTGGAAACTGTATTTATGGCTTATTTTTGTGCATTTAAACTTCAGCCGCCATTGATAGTTGTTAAAAGTTGTTAAACCTGTGCATATGAAACAAAAAACGCCTTTTGTTTAGCGATTTATTGTGAAAAACGGAAGATGTGCTTGCTCCTTTTCCTGTTGGGCCGTTGTGATTTCTGTCCATTTACTGCGGAGGTGCTCCGGCGTCCGGCAAAAATAGGATCGATTCTATTTTTGCCGGACGCCGGAACAGAGGGCGCCGCACGGCGCCGCACTGCCGGAGCACGGCCGCAGTAGTGGAATTGCTCTGATTGACTAGAACGGGACCGATTTTGCTCCGGCGTTCGTGTCGGAGCGGAGCGCAGCGGAGCGGAGGTAGTGGAATTTGGGGGTTAGAGTCGGCGGCCATCAGAATGTCCCTGGACACCCTCAGCAGAGCGGTTTCTGTCCACTGATTGTTACAGAATACTGACTAGGGTTGAGTGGCTCACCAGAAAATCATTAACTGTTCAGCCACAAATTTATCAGAATCAACTTTACTGTCGGTGCTCCAACCTGTCCAAGGTTAGACACACAACCATGTAGAGCAATAACCGATATGGGCAGACACGAGAGCAGCCATCAAGGCGCTCCAAGAGTTCAGAAAAGGCAGCTTGGAGATGGGCTGTGAGGGGTTAAGGTTTAGCTTCTTAAGAATGGGCTCAACTACTTAATGAAGTAGCAACCACACCAGTTTCTAGCGAAGTGTTAAAAATGTTTGTAACACGGGGACCAATAAGGTGGAACT